AAACTTAATGTTTTGTACATATATTTAAGGTTCAAATTATTGTAATCGATATACCCCGTGTTTATAATATATTACGTGGTATCAACAATTTAAGTCATTAATGTGATTGTTATTATTATAAATAAAAACCGATATGATTTGATAAAACTATACCTAAGTATGTCAGTATTCAATAATCACAGATAATATTAATTTACAATTGTAAATAGTCGAATATTGTATTTCATGTTAATTTTAATTTCAGAATACTGTACGAGTTATTCTACATCGAAATTCATTATATTTATTTAATATATCTATTAGGTAGTAAGCAAAATGAATTATAAATTGATGGTTTATTTAAGAATTTCAACTACGTTTTACAGTGGTCTAACTGAAGTAAATTCTGTAAATAGTAACGAATGCGGTTCGTGTTCATCTCGGTGTATAAAATATTGAAAGATCGGAATCAAACCTTTTTCCAAGAAACCCTCAAAATAAATCCTAATGGCAACTACATTTGAAGCAACTTTTTTTAAATTAATCTTTTATAATATTGAAAATTTAATAGCAAATTGAATTAAATGCCAGCTAAAAAATACAACAGTAAAGAGATCTAAATGTTCATTGTCAAATTTTAAATGCCATTTAAATATAGTACACGATAGATCTGTTTAGATGTATAAATTTAGTGTCATTAAAACATCAAATAAAGTATTCTTGTATTTATTTTATGTGTAAATTTAGTGTCAGATAGTCATTTATAAATGACTGGCTGACTCACCTGGCGTCGCCCGGAATGATAATTGTGAGTGTTTAACTCACATTATATCACACCATTTTTAATGTGATTACGTTAGATAACAAATAATACTACTTACCAACTTAAATTTTAAATTTATGCAAGATTTTGCGATATGTACGTTATAAAATAATATACTGATAGTTATATCACTATATATAATAAAATCACTGATTTGCAGACTAGTTATCAATAAAAATTGCTTGGATATTTTTTTTGATAATATTTACTTCATTTTCGAATAAAAAATTGATCAAACATTATAGATGAATGTAACAAAAGACAGTTTACAATTTAAAAAAAAAAAAAAAAAAAAATTGTTGAATATTTCCTTTGTGTTTCTCGATGAGAAGACATGAGACATGATAATTCACGATGTAGAAGTCACGATGTAGAATGTTAGTAAAAATATATATAAAAAAAAAAAAAACATTTTAGTTTACGAACCTCTACTTACTGAAAAATAATAATGTTCCAACTGTATGATGAATTAGTATTTTAAGAAGATTTTTTTTTCTATCACCTATAGGGCACATTCATTCAGTTCAAGTTGGTTTTATTTCATTTTCGGTTTCACTAGATTGCACAAATGCTTTTTAGAATAAATATAGGAATATATTTATGGATAAATTCTATGCGACTAAAATTATTTATTTAAAATGATGAAATTTTATATATTTTTTGGAAAATAGTTTAAATATATTGATTCTATTTGGGTTACTTCGTATTGTTATTATCTAAGACTAAAATATAATTGTATTATAATTATGTATACACGTCTAATGTGCATGGCGATAAACGTTTGATCATCACGACATCGGGGACTGTATTAATATCTCATAGTTACTTTAAATTGATGACTACTACTTAAAACACTTTACTGCTGATGTATTTATAATTATAGATTTCAAATATTTGGCATTTTATTATGTCAAAGCAATATGGCGATTTCAATAAAAGTTACATATACAAGACTGGTTGTTTTTATTTTTAATAAAAATATATTTAAAAGTGTCACGAAAATCATAATGGACGGACACTTACCCTTGTAGCCGGAGAAAATTGAATAAAAACGTTACTGAAAAGTATAAATAAATGTAATATATGTCCACACTTGTCAATAAAAATATTCATCAGAGATTAATATTACGCTTGAACGTCATTTTGAGGGTTAACACCTAAAAATATTTTTACATCGATGTGCAGAATATAATATGTAACTGATATTTTTCTTCGGAATTCATTTTTTTAACCCCGTGTACTCAGAATCATTTCGAACATTTGATTATAGCCAAGCTCATAGGGTTTGTTTCATTGAACAAAAGTTTGGCATCTATTCGTTTGGTAACACCCGATTTAATTTTTAATGGCGAATACACTAATCATCGTTTTCTAATCGAGACGATTCCTTATGCTGACTGGATTCTCATTACAATTAGATGAACTTATGGACACGAGAGGAACAGTCGAATTGCAGTATGGTCAATTAAGATAATGGTCGATCTGAACTCGGGTCAAAGAATGTGATGGTTATAGCTTTGTAATAAATTGAAAAAGTTGACGGAGACAGCAGACGTGATGAACGGTTCCATACGTTAAATACCAGTACAATTACAGTAATATTTTAATGATATTAATATTATCTAGGTAAAAATTATCTATTGTAGTTAATAAATTCAATGTCATTAAATTTGTTTTCTTCAAACCTGGTGCATTTGTACTATTTGTATTTTAACCCAAGTGCTATTTAACATTACCCAGTTTTAATGAAATCTATAAATAAGTTTTCGTTGCACTAAGAAAAAATAAACCTGTCTTCTCCGTACCATAAATTATATCAGTATATTCGGCGAATGATTGATTGGTCTGATAGTTTTACCAATCGATGTAAAATATTTTAATATTTTTTTCGTTAATATCCATTCAAAAACTGATTTTAGTTAAAACATCGACTACCATCCTTACGACATTTAATTTAACCGTATTTTACGGCGACTAATTGTTTAAAATATACATCCCGTGGATATACGAGTATAAGTGGGGAGCATGGCTGTCTTTACCCACTGAGTCAGTGGTTTTCAATGTTTCAAGCCTTCAACAACATAAATGTTATTTAACACTAATGTGATGAATGAAACGTAAAACAGTACGTATGTATATATTATATTATATTGTGTGTAGTGTAATGTGCATATGACATATGTGGGAGAAAATTATTTTTCTACAGACAGAAAAAGGAAAACTCGATGGGACTCAAAGTCAACACCACGTGCATTGAATCGCACGTGCACGCGTATATTATAATACATTTTCGACGTGAAGTTTTTCATTAAAATATACAATTTACATACTCATTCAGATAGTTTCATACATATATACTGTTAGGTTCAATCAAAGGACAATGATAAGCAGATCATATATCAAATGTGCTAGTGTAGTTAGTGTATGTATATTTTATACGTTTTTTTTTTCAAAAAATGGAATGAATAATTAAGTGCGAACATTTTAATTACGATGGAAATTAAAACTGTGTCGGTGGAAAACAATTTAAAAAATCTAAATTCGCCCACATATACATGTTACGGCTAGATTCCGAAACATTGCTAAAGTGCACATTATCCGGATATTGTACACTCTAGCCATACTGGTTGAATAAAATAAACAATTAATATTTAAAATCATAGTTTTGTACACATTACCCGGCAAAAGCAACTTTAGCCATCGTGTTATGGCATATAAGTTAAAAATTAAATATTAATTAACTGCATTTGATGCAATATTAAATTTATTTTTACCAGATATTATTAATACTATTTATTAGATAATGTTTTATTTATTATAATTTATTTAAACACGGTAAACTTTGATGACATTTTGAATCGCATAGAACACTCGATGCTTTGCATTTACATTTATTTGTTTTGCAATTTTATTTACATGCACAACGCTGAGTTTATTATTATTTAATTTTTAATTTATATTAATTAATTTTATTTTATTAATAATATTTTACATTAGCCATAACACGATGACTAAAGGTACTTTAGTTGGGTAATGAGTAGAAAACTATGATTTTAAATGTTAATTGTTTACTTTATTCAACCAGTGTGGCTAGAGTGCCCAATATCCGGATAATGAGCACTTTAGCCATGTTTCGGACTTAAGCCGTAATATACATATCACTATGTGTAATATTTATCGAAAGAATATAATTTTATTTATAATGATGAGATATTCCTCTTCTTCATCTTTTTTCGCCCATCTATTTGGGGTCGGTCACCCTTGTCCTAAACCTCCACTCGTCTCCATTTTTCTTCACCTCTACACACACACCAACAACCCCTATATTATTCTCAATCGTATCCAACCATTTCTTTTTTGTTATTCTTATTACTCTTTTTACTTTAACGTTAATCATTCTTACCGATTTTATTTCACATGTACATTCTAATTTCCGCAACACTTCCAATCCGTTGTTTCTGTATTGATTTAAAATATCTCTGAGATCGAGTAGAAGTGATGATCGACTTAAAATTATTATAATTCGTAAATCGAACTCAATTAAACCATGGAGTCATCGACGAGGGTATTTTTCATCAAGGGTGTTGGTTTTTACAATTTCGTACTGATAATAATACCTTAAACACTATTTGTAAATTTATGGTACGAGATTAAGTTTTGAATTTAACTATTTCGTATTCCCTCGGGAAAGGGATTATATTCTTAAAAAAAAAAAAAATCATAAAAATTAAACACAGATCTCGAGAACATTTTTCTATGTGGAAAGGTCGAAATATGTAAATTACTATCAAGTATATTATCAGCAGTTACACGTGAACAAAAATAATATAGCCAACAAGTGAGCAGTGGTTATGCGTACTCGTTGTTTTTCTTTCACAAACCGTCAAATTATACGCACAGACAGATATTGTAAAATGTGATTTTTGTAATACTATATTTGCGTTGGAAATAATACGCGACACGTACTGCAGAGCGCTATGCAGAAAACGAATGAATGAATATATGATGGATACATATTCACTATATACTTTCTAGTTTTTAATCACGATGAATCACCGAAAGTTTAGTTATTTTAAACATGTATACGAGTACATATATATACACATTGGGGATGACTTAAAATATATGAATCGATGGGAACATAAAATATGTACTGCAAAATCGAGGTGGTAAATATATATGTAAATACAATACGTACCATCCAAAAGAGTGTTTCGTTCGCGAACCCGGAATACTCGTCGATCGTTGATAGCACGCTGAAAATCAAGCATACCAATACGACCATGAACCTGTGGACAAAAATAAAATAATACGTTATTAAATTAACACAGGTTGGATAAGTTGACATAGTCAGATTAACGTAATTTCGGTTATCGATTTTTACAGTCTAAAATTCAAAATTCAGTTTTGTAACGGACTTTGAAGATAAATAATAAATATATTTCTTCCATATTAATATCGCGCGTAGGACGTTTTTTGTTTCTTCCAAAAACAAATTAAACATTATCAACTTGAACGTAACCGTACCAATCGATATGATTTACGACTACGTAGGTAACATTTTACGAGAAATGTAATACAATAAAAACAATAACAGTATCCTCAGAGCCGGACCAAAATTCGAAAATAAAATTGAACCGCTTGTTAGTTCTTCCAATAATTATTGATAAATTTTTGTTTGAACATTTTTACGGGAAATTGGACAATCGAAACAAATGTGTGTGTTTTAACGTGTTTGTACAACAAAATGTCTCCATCGTAAATCCTAACAGCACTTTTCTAATTCTACGTCTTGATTGTGTGTACCGCGTAGTCGGGATTGGATTTATTGATGTTCAGTCAAGTATAATTCGACTACAGTACTATAATACTATTACGAGTATTAACCATTTACTAGTTTTTATTTTTTAATATTTCATTGTTGAATACTATTTATGTTATATTCAAAACATTTCTGGTTATAGTATGATTTTGAATTGTAAATGCAAGTCATAAGCCCAATAATTACACGATCGTACTGCCATTTTCTTTAAGTTTGTTTCCATCGCTTAAGTGTAATTACGTACCGTCGTTCATCCAGACAGGAGAAAGACGGAACGTGCATTTTTCTCTCCTTCGCAATACGACGTACGGTGGTCGGATCTGATTAATACTTAAGCGTTCATGCGGCCCGAACTCGACGGTCAATTTGGCATGAGACCGCTTTTATGCATTTTATTTGAATGTTTTGAGTTACGAATGGCTCTTAGGTTGTGAGAGAGAAAAAGCTCTTTACAGAGAGAGAGAGAGAAAGAGAAGAAGAAAAACTAGAAAACCACATATAGAATACTATGCCGAAAGCGTCTTCCAAGTGGATCATTGTGATCAGTGCCGCAATCACACTAACTTGGGCCCGTGTGTAAATAAAATGAATACACCCACCTACATCCGGACTCTGTAAGGAAACTGTATCTTTAATCAAGTGGTTCTCAAATTTTTTTTGTTCATGGAGTCCTTAAGTTCTTAAAAAAATTTACAAAGTCCCGAAAATCAAAAATTTAAATTTAAGACAATAATAATTATCAATATTTCATATTGAGAAAAATACACAGTTCAAAATTTCATTTTTTTTTTTTTGAAGATCGAACTATGTCATTTGTTGTGAAAACGGTGGTCGTTTTATAATACATTGATAAATTTACTTAATTTAATTTTATAATAATACCAGCCAAGCAATGAAGTCAGAATAATCAAATTTCATCAAATGTCTTAGTTGTAAATTAAATGGGTTAGCCACTATAATACTAAAACGTATAACTCGTTGCGCAAAATAAATAATCATACCAGTGTTTTTACTCGATAACTAAAAACTATAATAATATTTAAATTTAATTAATTTAGATATGCCCATGGATCCCCTAGACTTATTTTGTGGAGTTCTAGGGTTCCACAGAGCACAGTTTGAGAACCACTGATTTAATCAATTGTAACCAAACTATTTCGACTTTCGATTATAAAGCCCATCGTTGATGAACGATAATGTGTACAAGATAAAACCAAACAATTACTAATTTTTATTAATTATATTTATATTATTCAATCTCCATTAATAATTATTATTACTAAATTAATTTATTTCCTTGATTTCTACATATTTTTCAAATATTATCATTGGGACCCATTATAGGCTGAGGGCTTAGGCCAATGTGTTTGACACACGCAAACACCCGGTTATTGCAGCATTGATGATGATCACACTTTTCAGGCTAGTCTAGAACATGATCAGCTATAGTGGCGCAAACCAATTCGTTATGTCATTGTAGTGAAATAACAGAAAAATATTTTGATAAGCCTCTCTAGTTTCGGTTGAACATTTTTGGAGATTATTTTTCTGAATTCAGTAATAATGCGATCCGAGGTCGGACGAAACATGGTTAATTGATTTTGTATCAATGTTTTTATCGGAAAACTGTTTATAGAGAATGGTATCGATAATATTAAAATGGAAAATAATTCCATACCACATACTGTCTTAAACTCCAAAATAATAACTTAGCAGTAATTAATAAGCCGTTAGTCGTTAATATTAGTGTATGTTGGTCAATGTTTTCGGAAAACTGAATAATCTCTTTTAGGGCTAAGTATTTTGTGCGTATGACATCCTCATTGCTGTACAGGAAACTGAAAAATCAAATATTAATAGGAATGAAAATATATATATATACCAAAACCACTGTTTGTCTTAACATATATGTATATAGATTCAGAAATAATAATTTTCTCAGAACGTATCCGGTTAACCGTCTTGTATAATATTATATACGGGCTCGTATGTAATACACTCTTACATTTACCGACGTTTTATACATATAATAGACTGCAGCGTTTGGTCGTGTTCATTTTGCTAAATTGTCTTGTTTCCAAGGCAGACGATTGTACGGGCACGTGCTCACGACAAATGGCTAAAAATGTCAAAAGTTCGCCTGTTCGAAGCTTAACAACGCCTGACACGTTTTAACCTAAGCAATAAACCATCCGCGACTAACAGAGTGTGATTTTTCGACTGCATATTAGCAACGTGAGGTTTTTTTATTATTATTATTATTATTATTATAATTAATTATTTTTCCGCCCACCCAAGCTTAGAAGAAAAAAAAATCCAACTAGATTTTCATGTGTGACGGATTGAAATGAAACCGTTACAGTAAAACTGTACTGTGCATCTCTTTTAGCGACACAGCGTAATTGTATTGTATTTGTATGACATTATCACCGATGACAGCACGAAATTTAAATGCATTATGTAGTTCCGTGGTGTTTACACACGATTTATGTTTAACGTACTGCAAACTGAAGACTAAAAACTAAAAACATCGAACGCAACTCTGTTCGGTGGTTTACAAATGATTGTAAATGACCTGATCGTCAAGTTAACGAGATTATATAAAAATTGCAATCAACCAATCTTAAACAAGGTACGCCGGAAGGACCTGATGTCTACATGTGTCCCCAAATGTTAGATTTGACGTTAACATGGACGTGGTTTATGTAGTTCCGTTGAATGTACGAATAATATCGAACTGCGAGCGTGACAATTTGTTTCTAAATATACCGACCGACTATTATACGGGATTTAGAGCGTTTCATAGGAAATTTAAAAGCTGCCGAAAAGAAACTTATGCTTTATTGTTTGATGATTATTCAAATTAAATAAGTTTAAAAAACGATTTACGTCAAAATCTCCCCAGTTTAAAACTTATAGGAATGTCAGTACACTTTGTGGTCGCTTAACAATGAACCGCTATGAAGAATACCAAACAAGTTCAAAGTTCTTCATATTTTCAAACAAACCCATATAATTTAATCCGTTAAAGACATTTTTAAAATGTTGTAAAAATCATTCTAATTAAAAAAATGTTTGAAATTGTTTTCGGAAAAGTTGAAATACATTTTTTTTACCCCATTAAATACTTAATTATTTATTTTTTAATCTTGGATAAAAAAAATATAATATACAGTGAGTACGAATAATCCACGAGTATTTAAATTACCTTCGTGGTTGAAAAAATTTGTTTTGAAATATTCGTCCAATATTTAAATAGTTTTCAGAAGACGAACACAGAGATGATTTGAGATTAAATTGTAACTTATAAATTAATAAAAATAAAAGCAGGAATATTATAATAAGCAACATTAGTGATTCTCTGTTGAACTGCATGCGATCATACTGAAATACAACGAAAACAAATGCCTCAAACATCGTTTTCGACGACTCCAAACACAGTTGTTCTCTGAAAACAAAATAAATAAATATTCATTTCTAGTTCAACGTGTTTTTAATTTATTTTTTGTGTACCGTCTGGTCAGTGAAAATCGGAAAAATAGAACAAAATACACGATCATCCGACACAGTATCACATCAAAAAGAACTGGGAAGTTAAAAAATATATTTCTGAACGAATGATTTCCGCTCCTAAGTCTTGTGGTTCCTTCGCAGTGGTGACGTATCTATGTTATATTATATAATATATTATGTTTTTTCCGTTGACACGTCGCAGCAGAAAACCGTGGAAAAATTGCATGAAAATTTATCACAGAAACATACAACCAGCCATCTGCATGGGTCCGATTATTTGTTCGCATATCATTATATTTATTTTCTTTGTTAGTCCTATAATACACAGATTCCGACAACATCGCGCATTTAACATTCCTTATAAAAAAGTAAACACAATCTAATCCCCTAGCTTTTTCGTTCAATGATGTAAAAACATTTTAACATTATTAAAATAATATTTGCAATTCAATTCAATCAGATAATAATTTTGTATGTGATCCCTGTTAAAATACATTTCATTTTTAAACTACTTACTGTGCAAAGGTCCCAAATTAAATGTAGTTATTATTTGATATCGATTTTATATTTTCCAAACTTCCTTTTCGATCACATATACTTCTTACTGAGTAAATACGAATTTCTTTCTAGCACCATTATACGACATAAAGGCTGAATGAGGAAGGAAAAAAAAACTGAGGTAATAAACTGGAAACTCGAAGCTCTGGCCTTTTGTACGCCTACATGTTGACAACGAGTCTATAAATGCGACGACGGTGGTAGAGAGAAGAAGTCAATTTTTTTTGTCGACCACAGTTGAGGGTTCTAAATATGCATTATAAAAATATATCCAAGTATGAACGAATTGATCTTGATCGAGGGAAATCTTGTAAGACTTTATACTGGTACGCATTTTGCACACGATAGCATTTAGATGTGCGTATAAATGGTTTGGAAGCACTTTGCGCCATAGTT